GCATTGGACCCCGTGCTGTATCCACGTTGATAGTTGCGTAAATGGTAGCAACTTTCACTTAGCTTCAACTCCAAAAGGAAGTATTGATAAGGGATGGTCTACTTTGTGGGACTGAATAGTAGTGCCGCCCTTTTTGAATGATGTCCACTGCTCATTGATCTTGATGGCTGTTGGAAAACCAACATCTGAGTAAAAGGGTTGATGCCTTTTGTTTCCATCGTGTTGTCATCACTTTCCAACCATGTGATGTGCAGAAAGGTCAACTTTTGAACGTTGGCCTTTTCACCAAAATTGCATTCATCTGAATAGGCATAACCTAGAGTAAATGATAATAATAGAACACCTAGGAATCAAATCCAGGACTCTGCTTAGTGAGATATTGTGGTGTTAATGACCATACATTTTGAGTGAATCTGTATCTTGAAATGGACAATTTAAAAAATCCTGACAGAAGTCTGCATTCTCTGATTACCATTATAGTATTATATAGCAATTGACTATCCATACACCCTGGCATAGCATTAGATTTCCACCAAATATAACTTTGTGTAGTTCTGTAGAACATAAAACACCATAGCATTACATTTAATAACATTCCCAAATGTTGTTTCTGGCATAAAAGACTCGCCCTGGAAAGTGAGTGGAGATGTGCTTATGCATCAATATTACTCACATAATTTCCATCCCTAATAAAGATGCTCTTCATACCGTATCTCCAACTCATCTGACACTCACCTGCTAAATACTAAAATGCCTAAAATTATGGGATTCAATCAGCAGGTTTATTAACTAAGAGAATCTCTACACTGCAGGCCTTTTTTAGATCAGTCATAAACTGTACTTTTCATCATCCTTACAATACAGGATTTCTCTTTAAAAAAAAGGATTTCACTGAGATAAGATTAGGACTGAGACATAGACAGGGAGAAAACAATGTCATCGGTATATAACTAACTAAAATGTTGACTAAACACTTCTTTTAACTGTAAGGGAAATTGAGGATTAAAGACATTGAGCATAGCGTTAGTTCAGGCAGGCCACGGATTCAAGCTTGGCTGTCAAACTCTTCTCTTATTTCCAGCTTATTATTAAAAGAGGTAGGTGATAATTTATTCATCCCAAAATTGGGAAATCATTTTTCAACAAGCTGCAGTGTCAAGCATTACACAAGTAGAAATATTTGAAAGACACACAAAAAAATGTTTCATAGTATATACAAATTCACATATCAATAAACAGTCTCACTAGGCTAATGGAATATATAGAAATAAACAGACACATAATGGGATTGGATTAAACACAAATCATAATGTGCAAAGCAGCCGATTCACACTCTGCATCTGATCAAACAAGGGTGCATATGTAGGCTGCTTAGCATCACTGCTTCTTCCGCTGCTATCCCTAACACCCACATTCACCCCTGCTCGGCCTTTTTTCATGCTGTATCTGACTTATCAAATGTAATTTCTGTTGTCAGAGGGTGGGGGGGCTTCTGGTGCTCTCTACGCATTTCGCAGAACAGATCCGTACCGGCAAACATTACTCTCTGAAATACAGCTGTGTTAAACATGGTCTGTCAATGCAAGGCACAGCTCTCTACAAATCCAATAGCTGATTTTGAATGACTCTGGGTGCCCCTGCCCCATTTGCTGTTTCCAGGTTTGTGAGCAGTCAATGATTACTCTGTTGTAGTGAAGCAGGAAACGCCAGAGGCAGGGTGGCAGCTGAAGGGGAATCGATGGGAGTCAATGCCCTGGACACTGGAAGAGAGGATTCTGCCCTGGATACGTGAGAGGTGTGGGACATTTTCAATAGCTATTACTGTCATTGTAAGTATGACTATTCACAGAGAATCAGAGTATATATCGAGATTTCTCTGTCCTCCATCTTTCGTGTTATTTGGTTGGATGCTTGTTGCTATCAGTGCATGTGGGGGCTGGGTAGATTGGTGTCAGGAGACAGAATGTGTGGGACGCCCACAGTGGAGCCAAGTTACAGGCAGCAGTGAGAAACATGTCACTGGTCAGCACCAGATCAGCAGGGGAGGAAATACAGGCTTTACAGGATCCACTATTTCAAACAGGCAAGCCAATGTTACTATACCAGAGTCCTGAATAAAACAGGCTTTTAGGTAAACCTATTCTAGAGTACACACTTTTTGTCAAAATCCAGGTAAAGGATATTTTGAATAATGATGTGAACACAGGTTTTTTTCAGATGTTTACAATTCCTTCTCTTGCAATACACACACACACACACACACACACACACACACACACACACTTCTTGTGCTTATGTACCTTCCAGACAAAACAATTTACTCTAAGTTACGGGAACCTCTCACTTTCTCACGCTGTATGATACAATGCATCATACATTCTCACAGGTGCGAGCTCTGTGCCCCTTGAGAAAGAAAAACCTCTCACTTTCTCGCGCTAAATGCGCCTCCATTACTATCTCTCAAGCAGTTATATTTGTGCCTTGCTCACATTTGACTCAGTGACACAATGAGTAGGCAACCGATTAGGCAATTTTCTGTCAGAGAGGCTCGGGACAAATGTTTTAAACCAGATAAGGAGGAGATTGAACCAGACATAGAGGACGATGTCTCAGAAATGGAAGACAACAGCGATCCAGACTATGAGCCTGACCAACAGTCAACAGACCAGGACGAGGCCACTGAGGGAGAGGCCCCTGAGGGAGAGGCCCCTGAATATATGTATTTTTCTCTAAATGTTCACTGAGGAAAACAGTGTCAGTGTCTTATTTTATATTCATCACAGTGAATGCTGAACTTGATGGGCCCACCGGTGGGTCCGGACCATATACTGTAGTTGAAAGTACACCATGAAAGTCTGGCTTGCTTGTATCAAATCAATACATCCCATACATCATCGGAACGGGAAGAATTTCAGCTACAACACCAACTAAAGCATTCCCATCTCCAGTAAACACGGCCTACATGGCAAGCATTTCTATAATATACAGTAATGTATAGTAAGCACTATCTTTGAACTTACTGCAATATTATAACATTCACCCCTGGTGTCATTCTGTCTGTCATCCCTTGATTCCACTTGCTTTGACTGTTCAAATGAGATGTCAACCATCAAAATTGGATAAGGGGTTCCAGAGATATCACCGTGCAAAACACACCGGTCAATTTTGACCGTAAAATAGAATGGGAAGGGGGGTGTGACCTAACGCAAGAGAAGGGTTAAGAAATGCAAATGACCTACTTTAGCTCTGGTAAGGTTTGTTGTATTCACTTTGTGTTACCCATTGTACGAGAAAGTGTTCTGTGTTAATAATGTCCTGTTTAAGACATTGGAATAGATAATGCACAGTATGCACAAAAAACACAAACTTTAAAAGTCTGTTTTTATAAGTTCTTAATTAAGGAAAAAACTGTTTCTACCAGCTAAAGCTATTTCCTGTTTTGGAGACAAAGATGCTGAGTCATAATCAGTCATGGAAAAGGATTAACCAAAAACTCCAACTATGTATTTTTAAAAATACATTTACCAATATTCATGTGTCATTGACTGACATTTAAAAAGACAAACGTTTAAACTTACATTAAATCAGCCAGAATTTATAAAAAACTATTAATGTGTTCTACAGGCAGGCGTATTTTTTGCTGCCAGTAGAGGCTGCTGAACGCTTTATAAAAATCATGAATCCAGCCTTAAAACCAAACTGCACTATTCTGAGAGAGACTGTGTGATGTTGTTACTATAACGGAAAAATAAGACTGTAACTAAGCATTTATATTGTAATCAAAGCAGTGGGATTCTGTCTTCCACAATACAAAGTCAAGATAATGGCACCCTCTCCATTAGGTAGACCGACAAAGTACTTTCTGTGCTGTCAGTGGATCCAAAGAGCCACAAGTGTGAAGTCATTTATATTCAGATCAATGCCAACTCAAATTGCTAGGTCCTTTCTTTCTTTCTTCGTCAGAAGATACATAAAACACAATTTATTTTATTCATACCTCACATTTACTCATTTACCTACTTACATATAAGGCTAACCTCCATTTATTTTACTAACACTACACTACTAACATTAAGCTATACCTTTAAATCTTAAATATTTGCCATTCTCCCTTTAAGATGGTATCCTAATTTCAGTGTAGCATTAACCAAGAGAAATACTTACCGACTAGCAACCAATTCAATTGAGGACCAATTCATTAATAACACAAATACTTAGAGAAACAGGATGTCAGCCAATGAGATGTGGGAAAGTAAATCAACAGTAGGCTGGCTTAACACAATGAGAACATTGAGAATGTTTAATGAATGACTTCTTAAACTGCTATAGGGACTTGGTAATGTTATCATAAATACCCTAGCAGCAACAGCAGGTGTGATCACGAAGGTCTGATGGAAGAGGAAGAGCACAGTGGCGTTAGAAAAAGCTACCTTGCAAACTTCCCCCACACAGTTGTCGTGGCGTGGGTGAAAAGTAGAACTAGTCATCTCAGAGAGTACATTTAGCATGAGTTGAAATCACCTTCCACTTCCACACTCAAAAGCCTTGATTTCTTGATAGCAATAAGAAAATAAAAAGGTAGTTTTTCAGTAAACTGGTAACAGTAAAGTGACCTAGAGAGTCAGAATTAAATGTACTTCCACATAGCAACTGACTCAGATGTAATCCTACATTATATGTGCAGACTATCATACAGTAAATCCCCAAAAAACAACATATTTGTTTGTCAAATACACCACCAATAAAGCGGAGCAGAAAGGAGTTATACAACCCGGAAATTAGTTAGCATTTCGGCACTTCTGGTTTGCTCATCTTGAAGTCAATGTTCAATGGGAAGATGTCATGCTATGATGCACTGAAGCTTGATATAATCCAGTCTGTGACACAAAACACACCAATTGTCTTGGTGATGTGGCTATTTATCCAACTATATGATAATGTGAGTAGTGCAAAAAGATAGTATAGCTTAAATTAAAGCCTTCATTTATGATGCTTCTTACTTTTCATGTCATCCAGGTCGGCGCTGGCCAACATCTGGGCCTCGGCCTCGTCAGTGGGCACCTGCTGGTAGACAGCGGTCTCCAGAGCGGTCATGCTGCCGATGCAGATCCGCTCCCGCAGGTCATAGTTGCTCCGCTGGGCGCCGGCCAGCCGATGGTGGATGGGCCTCCTACGGAACCAGGCACGATTTTTGGTTGAACTTGAGGGGTCTGATCCTGAGCGAGCACTGACACAAAGAAAAACGTTGATTAAAGATGATCAAATGTTGCCATAATTATATAGAGGTAGGTTATCCTTTTTAATATTTGTATGAACAGACCAAAACTGAAATCTTTGAATCTAAGACACCTTCCACAAATGCAAAAAAGATATGGATGCTAATAATGATTTTGCAAATAAACGGATCTCAGCGAAAAAATAATTGTGGCCATTTTTCAAAAGCCCATGATGGCCTCCCTTTGACATGGTTTTCTTTATTTCAAAATGAGAGCATGCAGTCTGGTCACTATTTATAAATGATTACTGCCAACCTGAACTAACCTTAACCCATTCAGTTGATTGTTTGTGATGTACACATTACACATTCAGACACGGATTGATGATCTGTTCATACTTTGACACAAATGTACCTCTAAAGAATAACATACTTATTGAATGAAATACAAAAATAATGAGGTACAATGCTTTCAAATGTGGATATTGAAATATAAATAACTCACTATAAATTCAACAGTGCTGCTGACTGACATGCTTATTAGTATTTGGGTTGCATTGTGGTCTCTTCACCAGCAGAGGGCTTCACAACACAGCGTTAGGACCATAGGGCTCTATTCACTAACCCACTGAGTCATCCCCTCTCACAGCAACACTCTCTCACATGGCACAGGCATGGTGGGGTCTCTGTGCTTTCATATAACCATCAAAGCCTTAAGAACTGTATATATGGGTCTTAGGGTTGATTTTATTTCATGTCTTGAACAAGATACTAATGTAAAGTTAATTTAGAGCAGAAACAACTCTTCCTGTCTGCTGTATTCTGTTTTCAAAGAAGCTCCGTCCAGGTTAAAAGTGTTACAGATACATTTGATGCAAGGGGTCAGCTCCAAATTTAGAAACATTTGAATATTAATTAAATAATTTTAATCCAGCTGGTGTCCTCTATTATATGATCAGCAATATGCTCATTTCATGCCTGGCAGTTGGGCGCTATATTTGGAAAGTGGTACAACACAAACGTTTGTGTGTTAGTTTAACTAGTCGACAGTAAACCAGTCCACCAGGTATATTAAACTGCAGGTAACCATAGCAACATACTGCCGAGTAATGTGCAATTCATTTTACGAAACCAGTAAACACTCCCTGGCGAAATGGACGAAGAGTAATAAAAGGATAAACTAACAACAAACCTTTAAAGCTGCATAATTATAGTTGTATATCATCCAATAACAATGGATTCAAAGACGGTGTTTACTGTGCTCATAGTAACAAACCAACAGATAATTAAAACCCAACTCTACGGAGCGTTTTGGCATCTTCAAGCTGAATTGTTTTAGTTTTATGGCCCACAGTTTCATTTCATTCTCATTTCTCTAATCAAATTGTTTCCAGCCACAGCTAGCAGCTTAGCAGCTGTTCACAGGGGAAACGGCCTGATGAACCTACTGTACGCTGCTAACCCAACCCCAGAGGAACGATAGACAAAGTTAGATAATAGCTTTTGAACAAAGTGCACCAATGGGCTGCGAATGAGCCACATATTGGATGAACATATAACAACGTATACAACACGGTAGCAGCAGAAAACTGACAAATGATCATGTTGTAAAATTCTTCCGACAAAAGCTATAAAAAATAACTGCCTAATTACTGTATACATTCAGAATTTACATTAGTATTCATCTTCAGCTCTGCTCCACTGAATCCAATATCTTGCTCTCTAGTAGCATAATGCTAAGTTACCATCAAATGCTAGCTTGGTTAGCAATGTTCATGTGTAGGCTATGTCTTTTCAATTTTTAACGGTGATATTCATTTGGAAAGCAAAAATCAGGTTCAAAAGAAGGACGATTCGGGTCGGGTCATTTTTTTCATTGACTTCTAAACAATTTAGAATTAGCAACAAGTTGAGTGGCCCCTATTGGCCATTCAAAATAATGCAGCTTTAAGACATTCCCGCATTAGCTTAATTGATCAGGTTCCCACTTGGTACTACCTTTACTGCGATCATGAGCCCATGCAGACAACAGTTTTCAGAACAAACAGAACCTGATTGTATAACAGCCTACCTGTTGCGAGCTCCTTCCTCTCCATGCACCTCCTCCTTCTGTTGAAGAACAGTAATTCCTCCATTATGAACCTCCCCCTTAATCACAGCAGGGGCAGCTTTCCTTGATAATAGATGTTCTTCATTTTCTGTGTGGAAGGTATTGGGCGGATGGGGTTCCTCCAAGTCATCTTGGCTCCCCAAACTAAACTGAGAGGAAGAGGAAGATCAGTGAGAGGGGAGGAACGTGCTTGGACATACCTAGTTCAAGCGGGGAGTTGAGAAACTTTACATTGTACAGGTCACATGGTTCCTCAGTCCTATTTTACCTGTGGTTGGATATCCGGTCTCTCTTTGGAGGCGGACCCTGCCTGTCTGTCCGTCTCAGAATCGGCCTCTTCCTCATCTACCTCTTGGATGGTGGGCGTTTCTTCGGAGGGGGGGAGAGAGGTCCTTCTTTTTTTCCGTTTCTTTTTGTGCCGTCTTTCCATGCTGTGCACCCTCTTGCGTAAACGTTGGGCCAGGGGTAGGTGGGTGGATAAGGGGTGGTGCGTATGGGGAAATGTGTGTCTGTGATCTGTCAAAATGAAGAATCAGATAAAAATACATCACAGTAAATGTTAAGTCTACTGGATTTGTAGAGGTACTTGTACTTTGCTTGAGTATTTCAATGTTTTGCTTCTTCTACTCCACTACAATTCAGAGGTAAATGGTGTACCTTTACTCCACTACATATATTGAATACCTTTAGTAACTTTGCAGATCTGGATTAAGGATGGGAAATAGAATCAACAAAAAACAAATTGATAACAATCAATGCATCAATAATTATAATCAAAACATATCATACATATTATTCTGAAATGAACCAATCTGCACAATGACTACTTTTACTTTAGTTACTTTGAGTATATTTTGATGCTAATACCTTGATGCTAATGCTGGGCTTTTATTTGTAACAGAGTATTTCTATACTCTGGTACTTCTTCTTTTACTCAAGTACAAGATCTGAGTACTTCTCCAACCGCTGGTCTGGATGTAACAAAAGAAAATAACTTACACCCAGGAGACCGGAATTTACATCTCATGTGAAACCAATAGTCAAGTTGTGTATAGTTTTGTGCATAACTTAAACTAAGTAGAATTGTATAGTATAGTATAATTGTCTAATATCTAGTCAGAATATGTCTTTACAATTGATATAAGACATAATAACTTAAGAAGTAACAATGCAGTGAGATATACGGTCTTGTTTTTAGACAATGCATCTTAAGTATCTTCAAGACTCTTCAAAACATCTTAGTTGTATCTCAGATGAAACTATTTCTTTCAAGCTGCTGTGATATTTGTAAAAGATGGATCATCTTCTTCTAAGAAATAAATTGTATTAATCTTATTTTTATTTTGTAACAACATTTCCTGATTCTGGTAAATATAGTTCAAAATATGTTTTCCAAGCTAATTACAAGATCTAATTTAACTAAATATCCCATCAAGACTCAGCACGTGTTCACTACACAGCTATTACAAGCAGAACACCTTGTTTTTATTATTATTTTACTTGATTTTGGAGCAACATTTTTTTAGAACATAATGAGCTTAACCACATAACAAACATATATTAATTTTAAACCAAATCATAATCTTTGCCTAACCCTAGGAGGTTTATGTTGTTATGTTGCCTTAACCACACCAGAGGCCTGTACGAAGCAGGATTTTCGCTTAGCCGGCTAACTTCAGGGAAAACTCGGGGTTTCCGGTCCTACGACGCTGGTTCTCTTTTTAGCGGGCTAGATCTCCATGGTAACTTATGCTGAGCCGCTAACCTGCTCCGGAGCAGGTTAGGTTGCAGGCTAAGAGATCAACTCAGTGAAAGCACCGCCTGCTGACCAATCAGAGCTCAGTGTGCGGAGTTTAAAGCGATCAAGTCATATTACAGGAGAAAGGAAATACAGAAAAACTGCCGTTGCAGGAAAGAAGGCCGGCAAAAATCACCGACTGTATGAACGTGAACATTAATAGAATATCACCTCCATCTTCAGAGCAATCTGACTATTATAACATTAGTGTTAAGAAAGCTTAATTAAATATCTGCCACAACATAAGTAACCGGATCAAAGTAACATTACGTAGCCTACAGTCCGCGGCACTGTGAGTGCAGACGTCGATGTGTCCCATTATCATTCATATCACATCATAATGTAGGCCTATCATATATTTCCTTATCCGAGTCAGCTGAGCCGTATCTGGCCGTACAACACTCACAGTGTCACATACTGTAAGCAGAAGTATTATTTTACACATTAAGTTGACGAAACACTCGAGTCAAATGTAATTAAAGTCAGATCGTGTGTTAGACGGGGCAGTGATATCATAAACCTGTTAATGTACGCATTCAAACACTTTTTCTTTTGCCAGCTGTATTCACCTTGCAGGTGCAGCTCTGTGGCTTTTATCCTGGATAAAGTGTTTAAGTCATGGATGTTTAAAGTTTAACGTCTTCATATTTGACTAATATTATTGTTCACTTTTCATTCAGGAAGTATGACGCTGCGCTGTCAGTACGCTTCTCCATGTTTGTGATTGGTCGAATGCTCCAAATACCACCACTTTCATGTGAACGCGCACCTAACTAGATAGGACACGGCTGGCTTGAGCGATCCACTTGATAACCAGCGTCGTAGTACAGTTTAGCGAGAGCGCGTATGTTTTGGATTAGGCCAACCGGCTAACTCAAACATATCCAGGTTAGGTTGAACCGGCTTCGTAGTACAGGCCTCCGGTTTTTCCCTGTCAACACAGAGGTTTATTTAGAACAGACGTATTTTATGAGATGGGAGTTAGACTGCGTTAGTGTTTTGCTTTTTAAAACATGTGACATCTAGCTGAACAAAGTATGGGAGAAGTATATATTTCTATGAACAGCCGGCACATAATTGTTTTTTTGTACTTCTGATATGAAACACAGTTGACACTGCAAATTGTAATGATCTCTCCTGAGGATGACAGCAGCATTATCAGGGGAGGTTATTATTCGGAGCTTTATCTCACAGCCTGTCACTCATCTTCTGGTTTCCCACCAAACCCTGTGGATATGAGATGTAAACAGGCTGAAACATCTGTAGAAAATATGAAATATAAAATAAATATACAATATAAAAAATGTGAGGGCAAATATTACTAACAAATATATTGGAAGGAAATCATTCTTACGCAGGTAGCTTGCTTTCTGATTGTAATGTGGATTAACACTCATCACTGGGTTACAGAGCACTTGATGAGTTATTGTGCAGTTGTAGGTATAATGAGTATATAGTATTTGTACACAGTACATGGTCGCTCTGCTTACATTCAAAGTCTTTCTCTGTGTAGTTCCGGCCCACCCTGTCTCCGCTGGTGGAAGCAGAGTCACTGAGGATGTCTGCAAAGCGCTCCACAGACAGAGCTTTCTCCCAGTTCTCCTCCTCCTCTTCCTCCAGTTCCTCCACTGATCCTTCATCATCTTCCACCTCCACCTTCACCTGGAGGATGGAGACAAAGAGAAAATACAGCTAAAAAAGGAAGACAAGAATACAGGAAGAATTATAAGAGTAAAAGGTGGTCTATTAAAGGGGCCCTACCATGCTTTATGTGTTTTTTCCCTTTCCTGTAGTGTTTATATAGGTTTCTGTGCATGTAAATGGTCTGCAAAGGCTACAATCTCTGTGTGCCCTCCAGAGGGAGTTTCTCTCCCACACACTCCCCCCGACTGAAATGGCTCCATTGAACTTGTTTGTTTGCATCTGTAACATAGTGACAACACTATATAACATTTTGACTTATATTTGGTAGCGCTCCAACACCTTGTATGTGATAGGCCAACCCTGTCTCCTAAAAATTACGTTCCCACAGAACTAAACTGCATTCTCAATTACGTTTAGCTAGAAACGTATTTTCTCCCACGTTACGTTTGTTATGAACGTATCTCAAATACGTTTATTTTCTACATATCTTCTAGAAACATATCTTCTCCCACGTTACGTTCGTTATGAACGTATCTTAAATACGTTTATTTTCTACATATCTTCTTGAAACGTATTTTCTCCCACGTTACGTTCGTTATGAACGTATCTTAAATACGTTTATTTTTTACATATCTTCTAGAAACATATCTTCTCCCACGTTACGTTCGTTATGAACGTATCTTAAATACGTTTATTTTCTACATATCTTCTAGAAACGTATTTTCTCCCACGTTACGTTCGTTATGAACGTATCTTAAATACGTTTATTTTCTACATATCTTTGCCATTTATTGCCTTGCTTATAATAATGATAATAGTCATTTATAAATATCATTTTAGAGCACACATTTGAAATCGAGAATCGGGCTCGATATATGGTTAAATTAAAATCAGTAGGCGAGGCTGTAATTTCGGCAGCTGTTACTCTCATGAGCGAGGCAGAAAATAATAGTTTTAACATGACAAAAAGCTGCTGTGTCGTTTATTGCACCTCAAAGATTAAAACAAATCCAGAGTTACTTGTTTCTGTACTTCCTCTAAGAAGAAAGGACAGTAAAAGAAGAGCTCTGTGGCTTCAGGCTTGATCGCCGTTCAAATGACAGCGTTGGTTTCCCCAAAAGTGGGCGGGGCTGTAAAGTGACGTTTTACTATCATCTATTATTCAAAACCATTCTATTTATTCTAACGTAAATTACATGCCAGTGTTTTATCTTTTTATTTATTTGTTTTTATTTTAAATCGTATAATGTCGGACTTTTTTCCCGTCTGTGAGGAAAATAAATGGGGTTTAGAGCCTCAAAATACTGAAATCTGTATTTTTTTAAATCTTTTCCTTCTAATTTGTTATTCTTTTCTAAATAACACACTGTTATTTACTCAACCATAACACACAATTATCCTTGTTTTTATTTATTCGTTTAATTCTATAATCTTGGGCTTTTTAGCCGTAAATAAAGTCACCGGAAACAGACGGGACATTTCGAGCGATACACACCACAAACCCACCGAACTGATTACCCAAGATCCTCAGCTTGAAGCTCGTTGATTGGATGTTTTAGCCGCAATAAACGCTGGGATATGGTGTTAATAAGTTGTGATATCCGAAAACGAAAAATAAAATAATACCTAATTCAGAGTGTTCTTGCTTTTCTCTTTGGAAGTCATCACATAACGGCATTGTAATACACGGTTCGGCTGCATTAAATATTATACATCTGCCGTAGTTCTTTATTTATAGAGCCCTGATGAGAAGACTTCTAGACAAACATGAGGAACTGCCGCCAAAACTGAATACTTGATGTGGATCATAAATATATCAACAATTAAACAACATCTTCAATTTCTTTTCACAAAATACGTCTCCTTGCAGTATCAATAGTAATTCGGGTGACTTTTATATTTGATCCAATTGGTAGATAATAGGTTATATTTACACCATAACGGTGCACAGCTGATAGAAAAGGACTTGTAGTTTTTAAAGATATTACTGATTTTCTTTGAATATAAGAATGTAAATACTGAGTTGAGAGAATAGTCAGGGGATTTGGGTGATGGGAGACACATCTATGGATTCAGAATTTCAATAGCGTACCATTAAATGACGGATATACCTTTCTGTCTGTGATGTTTTACAAATCAGATATTAATGTGTAGAAGTAAAACATGTGAAATAATATAGCAATATCCTGTAAAATTATGTAAAAACATGAATAAAACTACACATCTTCAGATGTTATACATACATAAGTATTCTACACTAATAATACAAAGTTATTATTAGTATGCTGTGTGTACCTTGTGTGCACCGCCTAGTGGTTAAAGCACGTTATTGAATTATTTTTGTTGAATAATGTTATTTGATGAAACAATATTAAGAGTACATACTTTCATAGGGGGAAAGTAGAAGGTCAATGATAGAAATATAGAATATAAAAAGTCAAGAAGATACTATAAGTGATCTCTATAATAAAACAGTTTAGTGCCGGATGTACAAAGATATTAATATGAGGATGTGCAAAACAGAAAAACGAATTAACCTTTATTAACACATTAAAGAATACTTTAGGTTAAGGTCTTATTTTAAACAAGAAAAAAGCTTTGGGGGTATCTATCTACCGATGAATATTAAGCCTGACAAAGTACTTAACGTCTAATATATTGCTTTCCTGCCATGTTAACTATGTTGAAGCACTTCTTTTAACTGATATTATACACATTAATTATACTCTTATGTATGTAGATAGAATAAGAAATGTGCAGAATATGACAGTTTAATGGTGGAGGTACACACATATTGATAGATGTCTTGTAATGCGCTGTTGAGGAACCTGCAACCCAAGTTGTGTATATGATCAATAAACCTTAGAAAATCTTAAAATCTTGAAAGGGATGTGCAAAATAGCCATTATACAGTTTTTAATTAACTATTAGTAGAGAATAACGAGTAATGAATATACTTTATAGAGATCTGCAGATAAATGTTTCGTCTTCTCAAGCACCACCTATCAAATATCTCTCCTGATTGTTGGCACTTGACAATCACCTTACCTGAATTTTACTCAGGTGTAACTAAAGTCTGCTTTAAGGGTTGTTTATATTTCACATCATTAATCAGAATCTGCAAAGTAACTAAACTAAATGTAGTGGAGTAAAAATACCAGGTTAACCTCTAATAATAATAATAATAATAATTTAAATTTATATAGCGCCTTTCACGAAACCCAAGGACGCTTTACAATGGGAAGTAACAAAACAAAAAGTAATAATAAAGATACATAGGCTGAAGAAAACAAAAACAGGAACAGGTTGCTGAGTACTGTATATTAGTTGAGGCCAAAGGCCTGAGTGAACAGATGGTGTTTGAGGTGTTTTTTGAAGGTGTCCAGAGTGTCTGCATTCCTGATTGCACAGGGGAGAGAATTCCAGAGGGTGGGGGCTGCGACACTGAAGGCTCTGTTGCCAAATGTTTTCAGCTTGGAGCGCTGGATGGAGAGCAGCCCTTTGTCAGAGGACCGCAGGTGACGAGAGGGGGTGTAGTGGAGTAGAATTGTAGTGGAGTAGAATTACAAAGTAAGCTGTCGTGTGGGTATATATTAATGCTGCCCATTATGGATATAAGCGATTTTTACCCATTTAGTAATTACATGTTTTAAATGTGTACACACCAATGTGTTTCCTATCGCCTAAACCTCCAGGGCTGTACACAGTTTAATACTGGCAACTTCTAATTTTGGGAAAAACGTCTTTTAAAACTACAATTCCCAGTAGATACGTGCCATAGAGAACATGTTGCGAAACACAATAGCCAGCATGTGTATTTCTCGGGGGGCGTTCGAGTCCAGTTTTGAATAGTCTGCCGTGGTTTCGTTCCATTTCAAAGAGCTTGACGCTCGGCGTAACCTTGGCGCACTGCCACTCCAACATCACGGGGTTTGTCAACGGGACTGTAGTCCCAAACGATAGCTGGGGATTATGGGTAGTGTAGTGTCTTCGGCCATCCTAAATCTCGAAATGTCCCGTCTGTTTCTGGTGACTTTATTTACGGCTAAAAAGCCCAAGATTATAGAATTAAACAAATAAATAAAAACAAGGATAATTGTGTGTTATTGTTGAGTAAATAACAGTGTGTTATTTAGAAAAGAATAACAAATTAGAAGGAAAATATTTTAAAAAATACAGATTTCAGTATTTTGAGGCTCTAAACCCCATTTATTTTCCTCACAGACGTTTATACGATTTAAAATAAAAACAAATAAATAAAAAGATAAAACACTGGCATGTAATTTACGTTAGAATAAATAGAATGGTTTTGAATAATAGATGATAGTAAAATCTACGTCACTTTACAGCCCCGCCCACTTTTGGGGAAACCAACGCTGTAATTTGAACGGCGATCAAGCCTGAAGCCACAGAGCTCTTCTTTTACTGTCTTTTCTTCTTAGAGGAAGTACAGAAACACGTAACTCTGGATTTGTTTTAATGTTTGAGGTAAACGACACAGCAGCTTTTTGTCATGTTAAAACTATTATTTTCTGCCTCGCTCATGAGAGTAACAGCTGGCGAAATTACAGCCTCGCCTACTGATTTTAATGTAACCATATATCGAGCCTGATTCTCGATTTCAAAGGTGTGCTCTAAAATGATATTTATAAATGACTATTATCATTATTATAAGCAAGACAATAAATTGCAAAGATATGTAGAAAATAAACGTATTTAAGATACGTTCATAAGGAACGTAACGTGGGAGAAAATATGTTTCTAGAAGATATGTAGAAAATAAACGTATTTTAGATACGTTCATAACGAACGTAACGTGGGAGTAAATACGTTTCAAGCTAAACGTAATTCAGAATGTAGTTTAGTTCTGTGGGAACGTAATTTTTAGGAGACAGGGTTGGATAGGCTAAGGGGGGGGATATCTCTAAGTGGTTGACCAATCATAACAGAGCCGGCCAGCTAACCAATCAGAGCAGACTGGGCTCTGGTTTCAGACAGAGGGTGAAAAGAGGTGCTGC